GTATGTTGGTTATCTCCCGCTGTGTTGCTACTAGTGGATAGAGGGGTGCAGCTAAACATCTTCCAATGCATAAGACAGTCCCACAGCAAAGAATTATTTGGCCAAAATGTCCATAACACTAAGAAACTTTGCAAACCACTTTTGACACGTTCGATCAGCCACAGCACCTTCTCCATAGACATCTTCTCCATACATGCACAAACTTTTTTAACATTTCAGTTGTGTTTTTATCTTACTTGAAATAATAAAGCATAATATGCTGAAAATATTGTGTACCTGTTTTCACTCTTTAATATTAAAATGGCTTCACAAAAATTTACCAATTTTGATGTTTTTAAAAAATACTAATATGCCCTGGCTGGCGTAGCTCAGTGGACTGAGCGTGGGCTGCGAACCAAAGTGTCGCAGGTTCGATTCCCAGTCAGGGAACATGCCTGGGTTGTAGGCCAGGGCCCCCAGCAACCACACATTGATGTTTCTTTCTCTCTCTCTCTCTTTCTCCTTCCCTTCCCTCTCTAAAAATAAATAAATAAAATCTTAAAAAACAAACAAACACTAATATGATAGCTGTCACGATACACTCTAACAAAATTGTTTCAACTAAAATTAAAGGCAACTGAGCACTACCAGAGCCACTGTACGGAAAAAAACTAAATGAACTTTTTGGCTAACCTAAGACTTTGTGTGATTTCAGTCTTCTTAAATTTGCTAAGACTTGTTTTATGATCTGTCATATGATCTATCTGATCTGTCCCGGAGAGTGTTTCATACATGCTTGATGGGAATGTGTGTTCTGCTCCTCTTAGGTAAAATGTTTTGTATCTCCGTTAGGGTTATTTGGTCTCAAGTATAGTTGAAGTCCAGCTTTTCTGTACAGTAGTTCCCTCTTATTTGTGGTTTTGCTTTCCACAGTTTCAGAACTGCAGTCTGCAAATATTGGAAATAAATTTCCAGAAATAAACAATTCATAAGTTTGAAGTTGAATGCTGTCTGAGTAACATGATGATGAAAACTCTCACTCTCCTGCTCTGTGAATCATTTCTTCACTCAGCATATCTGCACTTTATAGGCTCCTCGCCCGTTAGTCACTTAGTAGCTGTTTCACTTACCAGATCAACTCTGGTGCTATTGCACTGCTTGTGTTCATATGTTACCAGACAGGCACTGTCCAGGAGCAGGTCTGCCTCTGGCCTGCTGGTAGTGTGTGGATTCTTGACTTAGTGTAGGAAAAGTTTTCACAACACAAATCCGGGTGATTTTGAGAGTATGTTTATTAAGGCTGTGGACAGTGAAACCCAGGAAGGACTTAGAGTGGAAGAAGTGACAGGAGAGAGCCCTAGGTGAGTCTGCTTTGGCTCTTTAGAAACATTATATAGGAAAGGAGTGAGCCAGGGTGGGGCTGCTGCTAGCTCACTGGAAAGTCAGAGAAAAGGGCGCCCTGGAGACAGGATCAGAGGGTGAGCCTGGGTCGAGCTGCCACTGCCCACTGCTCCCCTGGCCACAAGTCTCCTTGAGACCCTTGGAATTTAGGAGGAAATAAAAAGTTCATGCCCAAGAAGAAGCATGGGTATGCTCTAGAGCAAGCTCTCCCTACATCTTTGTTCTGAGAGCTTCCTATCTTTTTTCTGTGAGTGAGGATCTTAGGGGAGGGTTTTGACAGAATATTTGTTAGATTTCCAGGTACATTTAAAAAAAAGACTTTATTTATTTATTTTTAGAGAAAGATGGGGAGGGAAGGAAAAAGAGAGGGAGAGAAACATCGATGTGCGAGAGATACATCAGTTGGTTGCCTCTTGCATATCCCCAGTTGGGTTGCCTCTTGCAACCCAGGCATGTGCCCTGACTAGGAATTGAACCAGCGACCTTTTGATTCTCAGGGTGGCACTCAGTCCACTGAGCCACTTGAGCCAGGATTCCAGGTACATTTTTAATATGGTGATGTGTCAGAATGAGCACATAGTGAGGTTTTGGGAATATTCTTTGATCCGCTATTACTGTTTTACTTTTGTCTTGAGTCTCTCTGGCTTTTAATGGGGTTTTTGTTATTTGTTCCCCAGACTTCATCTGTCCTTGGGTTTACCTGGCACAAATGATGTTAATTGGCTCTCTGTTCTCTATCTCCCAGACCAGAGAGATTTAAGCTATGTATTCTTTGGTTAGGGAGAAGAGGTATAACCCATTTGCCCTTGGTTAGGGGAGGTAAGTTTTTGCAATTCTCCGGCTGACTGTAAGTTGCTCACACTGTTTGGCCATGTTTAATTTTCTTGTCTCCCCATTCTGCTTACCCATCTTACTATTCTGCCTCATAAGTAACCCATATTTTACTTAGTAGTGGCCCCAAAGCACAAGAGTAGTGATGCTAGCAATTTGGATATGCCAAAGAGTAGCTATAAACTTTATCGTAGGTATATATGTATTAAAAAAAACCATAGTGTTCGTGGTTTTGGGAGGGAGGTGTCTTGGAATTTAAGGGAATCTACTGCATTGATTTTCTGTCTGGATGATCTATCTATTGTAGAAGGTAGGGTATTAAAAGTCCCCTACTATTATATTGTTGTCTATTTCTTCCTTCAGAACTGTATTTGCTTAATATGTTGAGTGCATATATATTTACAATTATTATATTCTTTTGATGAATTAACCTTTAATTATTAAATAGTGATCTTCTTTGTCTTTTGTTACAGTTTCTGGCTTAAAGTCTATTTTAAGTCTATTTTATCTGATATAAGAGTAGCTACTCTTGATCTTTTTTGGTTTTCACTTGCATGGCTTATCTTTTTCATCACTTCACTTTGAGTCCATGTGTGTCCTTAAAGCTGAAGTGAACCTCTTGGAGAATTTAATCCAGTTACATTTAGAGATTTAATTATTTTTTTAAATTGTTTTCTTCATCCAGCCAATCATTTATTTATTCTGTAAATTTTTAAAAAGATTTTATTTATTTTTAGAGAGAGGGGAAGGGAGGGAGAAAGAGAGGGAGAGAAATAGTGATGTGAGAAAGAGATATTGATTGGTTGCTTCTTGTGCACTCCCAGACTGGGGACTGAACCCACAACTCAGGCATATTCCCTGACTGGGGATCGAACTGGCGACCTGTTGGTTTGCAGGCCGGCACACAATCCACTGAGCCACACCAACCAGGGCCATTTAGAATAATTATTAATAGGTTAGGATTTACTAATGCCTACTGAGGACTACTAATGCCTTTGTAGTTGTTTTGTAGTTCCCTTACACCTTTCTTCATCTCCTGATGCCTTGTGAATTGGTGATTTTCTGTAGTGGTGTGCTTTAGTTCCCTCTCTTAATTTTTTTGTGTATCTACTTTAGGTTTTTATTTCTTTGTGATTACCATGTTGCTGACATATAACAGCCTCTTTTATGCTGATAACTGAACTTCCCATACTAAAACTCTAGCCTTGTAGGTTTTTGATATCACAGTTTACCTGTTTTTTATTGTGTATTCATTAATAAATTATTATAAACTCTAGTTAGTTTTAATAATTTTTTCCTTTTACCTTTATACTAGAGTGATTAATCCACTGTCTTATTACTCTATTAGAGTGTTCTGAATTTGACTATATAGTTACCTCTACCAGTGTGTTGTATATTTTCATGTTCCTAAAGAGCATTCTTTCAAATCAGCTTGAAGATCCTTGTTTTTTATGTCAGTGTTTATAGCTATAAAATTTCCCTTTAGCACTGCTTTTGTTGTGTTCTATCAATGTTGTTCTATTGTGTATTCATTTGAAGTCCTCTTTTTTCTGATTTCCCTTGTAATTTCTTCCTTGATCCATTGGTTGTTCAAAAAATATGTTGTTTAATTTTCATAAGTTTGTGAAAATTTCCAGTTTTCCTTTCATTATTTATTCCTAACTACATTTTGTTGTGGCTGGAGGAGACACTTTATTTTATTTGTTTGTTTGTTTGTTCACTTTATTATTGTAATCATTGTTCAAGTACAGTTTTCTGCCTTTTACTCCCATTCCAGCCCACCCACCCATCCCTCCTCACATCCCTCCCATTACCCCCCCCCGCCCCCAGTTTTTGTCTATGTGTCCTTCATATTTGTTCCTATAAACCCATCCCATTCTCCCCTGAAATTCCCTCTTCTCTCTGGAGGAGATACTTCAGATGATATTTATCTTTTTAAGTCTGTTGAGACTTAATTTATAGCCTAACATATGGACTGTCCTGGAAAATGTCCCATAAGCACTTGAGAAAGAATGTATGTGTTGCCGTTGTAGGGTAGAGTGTTCTATGCATGTCCAGTAATTGCTATTTGTCTTGACCTCAGCTCCAGTGTTGAAAAATCATTTATTTGGAATTTTGAACGTATTGTGCTACTTATTCTGCCCAGAATCAATTTATAAAATAGTTTAGCCATTTCCTTCCCCATTTTACTATTTATTTGGGCTGTTGTTGTTGTTTTTTAATTGTTTCTTTGCTATTCATGGTTAAGCTCTGTTTTTTAAAGAGAAGAACAAAGATCAGATTAAGAGTCATTGCCTTTCATGCTTTACTAGAAACAGAAACTAGAAACTAAAAACATTACCATAAAAATGACATTTTAAAAAGAAATGCAAAATGCAAACCCTGATTTGTTGCTGTTTAATTTGGTAGACAAAACTAACTCAGTCCTGTGTTTTATCTTGTCATACTATATCCAGGGACCATTCTTTCACTGGCGTTGATGTGGGTTGCCTTCTCCAACTCGTTTTCTGCTGTATCTTTGAGGTTTTTTTCTGAGATATTTTTTCTTTTTACTTTTAGAATTTAATTTAGTGGATGATCAGGTTGACAATTCTTAGTTTCCTTTGTCTGAAGGTATCTTTATGTTACTTGCATTCTTTTAAGAAATTTTCATTTAGCACCATGTAAATGTCATTCCACTATCTTTCTGAGAAGTTATCTGTTTAATTTTGTTGAGGGCCAAGTGTATATATCTTTATTTAAAGTAGTATTGATTAACATAATTATCTCCTTGTGGTTTTCTCTTGTAGGGAATACAGTGAGTAACCTGATTATGATTATACCTCCGATTTTTGGTGCAATTCAAAGTGTTAGAGATGGACTGGAAAAGCGGTACATCGCTTCTTATTTAGCGCTCACAGGTACGTACAACACTTCATCTACAAAATGATGTACAGTGTTCAGGTTGTTTTTCTCACTCATTCCTAATATGGGTTCTCAATTTTGTGTCATTACACAACTTGAACATGTTCCGAAACTTCTGAATTACAACTTCACAAATCTTGCTATTTGTCTTGACCTCAGCTCCAATGTTGAAAAATCATTTACTTGGAATTTTGAAAGTATTGTGCCCAGAATCAGTTGAACACATTTTTTAAATCACAAACTATTTTAAGCATACAGAAAACACTAGAGGTAATGTAACAGATAACCCATGTATCTTATTATCAACTTTTGTTGTATCTTAGCACTTTGCAATTATTTCAGATCTTACTCTTTCTTTTTTAAAGAAATACATTATAGATAAAATTGGAGCTTCCTTTTATTTTCCTACCTGATTTTATTCCCCTCATTCTCCCACCTCAACCTCCCAGAATGAACTTTTATACTGAATTTAATTATCATTTTCCCACATTTTTGTATTTATACTGCATGCATATGTATTGTTAAAAGTATGTATAGTATGGTTCACATATTTTTAGACTTTTTGTAAAGAACACTGTACTGTATCTAATCTTCTGCAACTTCCATATATTCCTCTACTTCCTGTGAGGCAAAGGCTTGTCTTAGTTACCTTTGTGTCCCTATTATTTGGCAATTTCATGGTCCTCAATAAATGTTGGGTAGATGGATGAATGAACTTTATTAGAGCCCCAGATGGGAAAATCACTCTGTCATGTTATTGCCTTATCATCATAAAGACAAAAATAGCAAAGAACATGGATTCTAGTTTATTTCTTTTATATAACTTTCTAAATAAACACAATTTCTTTTATTTTAGCTCAAAGTAGACTTTATTTACACATGAGCATTAAGGACTTCTAACTACCACAAAGTTGTAAGCTATAGTGTATCATATCAGATTCTACTTTGCTAGTATGAGAGACTTTTTTTAGGTTTTATTATTTATTTTCAGAGAGAGGGGATGGGAGGAAGAAGAGGGGGAGTGAAACATCGATGTGAGAGAGAAGCATTGACTGGTTGCCTGTCATGTGTGCCCTGACTGGAGATTGAACCCGCAACCCAGGCATGTGCCCTGAATGGGAATTGGATCTGTGTCCTTTTATTTTGCCAGAGGATGCCTAACTAACTGAGCCATACTGGTCAGGGTGATATGAGAGACTTTGATTTCTGAATTTGTTTGTCTTTGCATGGTGTTTTAAGAAAATTACTTGATTTTTCTTCAAAAGGAAGACTTGTCCACAATTTAGCCCTTTGCTTTAAATCCTGGGGTATGTTAAGGATGTTTATAAAATATCACAATCACAATAATTAATAACAATAGGAATAAAAAGACCTGACGGATTTCCAGGTTGTCATAGGATAATGGTGGCCTCCCTAGTTAGAATTTGTCCACTCGTTTTCCCTGAAAACCATACAGGTTAAGAAATAATGTAAATTAAAAAAAAAAGAAATAATGTAAATTAAACTGTACTTAACCCACACTTTCAGCCTTCCTAGGAGAAAAAGAAGACTATGAACTTCAAAATGTTTTTGAATAAAAAATAAACACCACAGTTTAACAGAACCGTATTTGATGTGTTAGACTTAGGGAGATTTGAAAACTACATGGAAAAGAAGAGAAAGGAGTTGAGGGCCTAAATCTGACAAAAACTCCCAATAGAAAGATCAAACTTCACATAAATATAAAATTTCTGAAAGCTGTCTAAGACCTGATAGATCACAATACTGGCTAAAGGCAAGAGTCTTGAGACCTACAGTGGCAATTTGGGAAATATATTACTTCTGGGAAAGAGATAAATAGAAACGGGGAGTTACCCTTTGGAGATGGGTTAGTAAAGGGAAAGAAGGAAGTCAGAGGGAGGAATTAAAATCCTGCTGAAACAAAAGAACTACAAAATACATCAAACCCTTCCCCTACACATACCCTCAACCAATAAGTACATGTGTGAAAAGGGATACTGAACTTCACTATTCTGACAGAAGGGGGCAGTCTTGAACTACAGATTTTTTAAGCCACCCCAAACCTTTATTCTTTTCACAAAATGGACCCCAATAAAGCAGTCTGCATCCATACAAAATTTTTAAGGAGAGAAAATGAGAATCAAAACCTTTTGCCTCATGGACATTCTTCTTCCACAACTAATTATAAGCAAAAAGAAACTGTATCCTAATACTTCTGAATTAAATAGCCTCAAACAAAGAAATAAGTCAAAAATTTAGAAACTAATAACATATATATCATCCCTCTCCCCCAAATAAATAAAATTAGAATTGATAAACTTGGTTGGAATATAAAATCCTCATCTTGCATTAAAAATGCTGTTCCACGGGTACCTTTCTTTGTATGCTGCTGTTGAGGTCTACAGGGAGCCTAATCTTCCTACTCTTTGAAGTCATCTGATCTTTTCCCCAGAGCTTTGAGAACTTTTTTCACTTTTAAAATCTAGTAGTTTTATTAGGCTGCATTTCAGAGTTGACCATTCCAAGTCAGTTTTATAAGGCAAAAACGGACCTTTCAATGTATAGAATCTGGTCTTTTTTCATTTTCAGAAAGTCTTCTAGAATTAGTTTTAAATTTAAGTTCTGTTTCATTGTTTTGCTTCTTCAGAGACTCCACTTATATATATATTAAATCTTTGCTTGTCTTCCATTTCAGTCCCTTTCTCTCTGACCCTTTTTATTTCTTTATCTCATTTTGATTCTCTTGCTTGTTTTTCTGCCTTTCTTAAATAGCTCTTATTAAATATTCAATATATTTAATTAACTTCTTAGTTTTTTAGAAAGAGACATAGAAAGGGTGAACCGCAAAATAATGAAATTGGTTACTCTAAGGGCTGTATAGAAAGGATAGAGGAGGGAGTGACACTTCTCTGTGTATACCTTTTTATTATTTTTAATTTTGGAACCATGTTACAATTTTACATATTCAAAAAATATAATTACAACAACCAGAATAGGAGTAGGGGAAATTAAGGGAGGGATCCTAAACTTGAATACAAAGAAAAACGAATTGCAAAAGGCACACCTGATAAAGGACTGTTATCCCAAATATGCACAAAACTCTTTGTATATAAGATATAAATATAAAAGTCAACAATAATGAAACAAACAGCCTGTGTAACAGACACCTCACCAAGGAGGATATATGAATTAAAAATAATATGAAAAGATACTCCACATCAACTGTCATCAGGGAAATGCAAATTAAAATAACAGTGAGCTTCTACTACATGTCTATTACAATTGCCAAAATCAAGAACACTGAAAACACCGAGTGCAGGTGAGAATGTGAAGTAACAGGAACTCTCATTCATTGCTGGTGGGAATGCAAAATGGTGTGGCCACTTTGGCAGTTTCTGAAAAATCTAAACTTATAGTCACATGATTCAGCAAGCATGCCCCTTGATGTTTACCCAAAAGAGCTGAAAACTTATGTGCACGCAAAAACCTTCACACAGATGTTTTACCAGCTGTATTCATAATTGTCAAAACCTGGAAGCAACCAAGATGTCTTTCAGTAGGTGAACGTGGTAAGTAAACTGTGGTACCTCCAGACAATGGAATGTTACTCAGCACCAAAAAGAAGTGAGCTATCAAGCCATGAAAAAACGAAGGAAGAACCTTAAAGGCATATTACTAAGTGAAAGAAGACACTCTGAAAAGGCTACATCCTATATGATTCCAACTTGATGACATTCTAGAAAAGGCAAAACTATGCAGAGAGTGAAAAGATTGGTGATGGACAGGAGTTACTGGGGAGTGAAAGATAAATAGTGGATTTTTAGGACAATGAAACTATTATTAGTGATGCTAGAATGGTAGATACATGTCATTATGTATTTGTTCACACTTACAGAATGTGCAACACCAAGAGTGAGCCATAATGCAAACTGTGGACTTCAGGTGCCAATGGTGTAATAATGTAGGTTCAACAAACGTTGAACAAATGTTACAAACGTTTGTAACAAACGTTACCACCGTGGTGGGGGGTGTTGGTAATAAGGGAGGCTATGCATGTTGGGGGTGCAAGGATTATAAGGAAAATGGTTGTATCTTTTCTTCAATTTTGCTCTGAACCTAAAAACTGCTCTAAAAATATAAAATCTTGATAAAAATGTACTATATTATTTATCAAATGGAAAACATAACCACATGGGAGAAAGTGAAAGTACTAATTCAGTTAACTTTGGCACAGTAGTCTCATTACTCAGCTCCAGTTTGAATACAAAAGGAAATTTAGTGAAATCTTGAACTTTACTTTTCTAACTTTATTTACTGTACCGTTATTGTTGGTGGTATGAGTATAGTAATTCTGAAGTTATTTTTGTATGCACTTTAGGATTAAGCAAATGAGGAAATGTACTGATACTGTTGAAGGCTGTTTCTCTTGGAAGAAATGAGATAAATTTGGTTGGAGGAAGGCCAGGAAGAACTCTGTGGTATTAAATTGGAATTAGAGATATCAGCATGATTTTTAAAAAAAAGATTTCACATATTCTGTACTCTGAAAGGACCTAGAAACAATGAGGCTTAGGTAGCAATGCACACATCCATTGTGGAGGCCTTGGTTTGTAAACATTTTTCCTCACTAAAAGGAATCAAGTTTTGTTGAAGAAATGGCTGATTCTTAGGATGAGGCAGGGAAAGTACAAGATGAGCCTGGAACATTTTGTCATGCCAGAAAGTACGTAAGTGCTCAAAAAATGAGGGGGTTGTGTTAAAATGACATAGAAGGCATTTTGGGAAAACTGGGATAATTTGAGGTTCCAAATGAAAAATGACAGTATCAAGTTATAGCACATGGTATAAAAAATTCACAATTTCATATTAACTATCAACAAACAAATGGTGTGAGAAGGAAAATCATTTTTTAAAATATATTTTATTGATTATGCTATTACAGTTGTCCCAGTTCCCCCCTTCACTCCCCTCTACCCTGTACACCCTCTCCCACCCA